GGAGGCCTCCTCCAGGGTGGGCTCAAACTGCCAACCTGTGTGTGTGTGTGTGTGTGTGTGTGTGTGTGTGTGTGCTATCCAGGCACCTGTGCGCCCCTGCCCAGCCACAGCACCGCAGGTTAAGAAGCTGAGGGCAGCCGCTGACCCAAAAGCATAGTATGACCACATCTACCCTCCCCATTCCAGTCCCGGAGCCCAGGAGGGGTCCCCTCAGTCAGGACCCAGGCAGCTTCACAGCCTCGCATGCCCGCACACACAGGGTTAACCCCAGATTGTCCCCCATCTCAATCCTGCTCCTGCTGCCTCTGCCCTCCTCCCCTCCCTCCTGCCGCTATTCTGGGACAATGGAGGCAGCAGGTGGCCCAGGCCTGTTCTCTCAGGATTTGAGAACAGCCTGCAAAGTTGCTCTTTCTAAGAGCAGATCATCCACGTGGAACATGCATGGGGAGGACAGCATGGCTCCCTCCCTCACCGGGTTGTGGGGGGACTCCCCACTCATCTAGAACCCCACAAGCTCCAGGAGCCCAGACAGACCCAGCTCAGAACCTGACTCTCTGTGTGACCACAGCTAACGGCCATCCCTCTCCGGGGCCCACAGTTTTCCCTGGAAAACAATCATCTAAGGTTCTGACATGCTCAGTAAATAATTCATAAACCCAGACTCTATAAAGAAGAATGTGGCATAAGGATTCCAGGAAGAGTCAACAACTTGCATCATGCAGATGACGCTACTTTCCTTGCTGAAAGTGAGGTGGTCATGAAACACTTGTTGCAGAAGATAAAAAACTATAGCCTTCGATATGGATGACGTGTCAACATTAAAAAAAGAAAGCTTCTTACCACACTGGCCCACTAGGCAACATCATGACTGATAAAGGATTGAAGTTGTCCATTATTTCATCTTACTTGGATCCATAATCAAGACCCTTAGTAACAGCAGTCAGGAGATCAGGAGACAAATCGCTTTGAGCCAGTTTTCTGTTAAAGAACTCTCCAAAATACTAAAGAGCAATGCCATCAGTTTAAAGCCTAAGGTGTGCCTGACTCAGGCCATGATCTTGACAATTGCTTCCTATGCTTCTGAGAGCTAGACAATGAATAAGGATGAGAGAAGAATTGACACCTGTGAGCAGTGGTGTTGGAGAAGAGTTCTGAATAGCCCAAGGACTACCAAAAGAATAAACAGATATATCTTAGAGAGGGTGCAACCAGAGTGCCCCTTGGAGGCAAAGCTCCATCCCTCACACTTTGTTTGAACATGTTACTAGAAGAGGTTATTCCTTGGAAAGGGGTATCATGCTTGGAAAGGAGGGTCAGCACAAGAGAGGAAGCCCCCCAAACAGGTGGACTGACACGATGACTGTAGCAACGGGCTCAAGGGTGTCAGAGATTGTAACAGTGACACGGGATAGGACAGGGCTCAGGTCTGTAGTTCATAGGGTCACTAGGAGTAGTACTTGAGTCAGTGGCATCTAACAACAACAAAGTTCTGACAAGCAGAGGGTCCCCTGGTCCTCCCTCCCTAGGTTACAGTTCCAAGCTGCCCAGTCAGACCCCCCCAAAGTTTAGGATCTCTCTTCACTCCTCCCCCACGTCACAATCCTACTATGACTCCAACTCCCAACATGGCTGGTCCATCTGTGACCTGCCCCCACTATGTGCCACCACATGTGAAATGTCATCACGGTCACTGTGAGTGACCCAATCCCAGTGGGCCTCGAAATGGCTTTATTACTGAGCACCTCCTGGGCTATCAGATTGTCCGTTTGTACCCGAGTTGATTTTCCAGAGGTTCTGGGGCTCCACTCTGAACCACCTCCCCAACTTTCTGAGGCCCAGAGGTCAGAGAAGAAGAGGGATGGCCTCCAGCACACCCACACTTCACGGCACAGGTATGCTGGCTTGTGTGTCCAGCAGGGACACAACATGACACATGGACACAGGGAGCACATACACACTGCACACATGTCCTCATGCTCATGCGTGTGGTCAAGGGCACTCCCCCCCACACACACACATTATACACCACATACACACACACACATTATACACCACATACACACACATTATACACCACATACACACACTATACACCACATACACACACATTACAACCACTGTTCACTGAACCCTTCCTTCCTTCACACCAAACTCTACGCTGTGTCCTTTACAAACACTGTATCTTCTCACTTCACCAAAGAAGACATTCAGACGGCAAACAAACACATGAAGAAATGTTCAAAATCCTTAGCTCTAAGAGAAATGCAAATCAAAACAACTATGAGATATCATCTCACCCCAGTAAGAATAGCAAAATTTAACAGAACAGCAAACAACAAATGTTGGTGAGGTTATGGAGAAACTGGAACCCTTATTCACTGTTGGTGGGAGTGTAAAATGGTGTAACCACTATAGAAGGCCGTATATGGCGCTTTCTCAAAAAGTTGCAAATAGAAATACCATTTGACCCAGCAATTCCACTACTGGGAATACCCCAAAGAGACCAGAACTGCCACTCAAGCAGATATATGAACACCCATGTTTATTGCTGAGTTGTTCACACTAGCAAAGAGTTGAAAACAGCCCAAGTGCCCATAAATAAACGAATGGATAGAGAAGCTGTGGTATATTCATACAATGGAATACTATGCAGCATTGAAAAACAAGGAATTAATGAAATATTATACAAAATGGGTGACCCTGGAGGACATTATGCTGAGTGAACTATCTCATAACAAAAGGACAAATACTGCATAGTGCCACTGTTGTGAAACAGGACTGACATTGGGGTTGAGGGGAGCCTAAGAAAAGAGAGGATAAATAACATGCAGTGCACTGAAACAGATGAGGGAGAGAATGGCTTAAAAGAAATATATGATTAGGAATTATTTGCATAAGTCCAGAATAAGGGCTGCATAGTAAAGTGAACAAGGGAGGGGGTGGGAATTGTATAAAAATGAAAGAATTTTTTTAAAAGATAAAAGTGAACTGGGGCGGGGGGTGGGAGGACAGGAAGGATATGTGTAATATTGAATGAATGGAAATCCAAGTTCCCCATAAACTTTCATTAAATCTTAATAACAAAAATAATCAGGAGAAAAATTTTTTTTAAAAAACCCACTGTATCTTTCATCCACATGTCAACCTGGGATGGAAATGGTTTATATCACATCTCTAAAATGGGCAAACAGATCAGAGAGATCAAGCAGCTCATTGAAGTTCACACAACCAGCAAGGACAGAAAAGGCCAATTTAGCTCCAGAGCCCACATCAATGGTGTTCCTCATTACCTTCCCTGCAAGGGCCATTATGACAGGCAGATCAAAGACTCTGCCCCAGTCTGGAATATTTTGGCTGCATGTAACAGAAAACCCAGCCAAGAGAAGCTTAAACAAATATAAGTTTAATTTTCTTACAGAATTAGAAGTTAGTGGACACAGTTGTGGACAATGATCTTGGCCTTTTCCTCATGATGGCAAAATCATTGCCTCAGATCCAGCCATTGCATCTACATTCAAATGGTGAAGATGGAATATGGAATGGTAAAATTATCCTGGAAGCCTTTCTATTGACTTTGATAGTTCACACAGGCCAGAGTTGGATCACATGGTAGCCCTTAACAGCAAGGAAGGCTGGGAGGGTGGGCAAAAGAATCGTCCTGATTGGCTGGGATCTACTGTGGTCCATTAGATGGGTCTTGGCATACTGAGGCTTCAGACAAAACTGAGTTAGGCAGGGACGGGAGTGGAGAGTACAAACAGTGGCTTCCACAGATCCTGGGCTCATCTTCACAGTACCCAGGTTCCCTCAGTGGATGGAGACGAGGCTGAGACAGTCAAGGAGAGGTGGACCCTGGCCTCTGGCGTGAAGCCCAGAGGAATGATCACAGAGTTTGCAGCAGGGCCTGGGCACCACCTACAGGTCCCTGTCATTCTCTGAGGGTTAGGACCTTCAGCTACAATACTCTCCCTAACTTGGTCCAGTTCAACCACTCAAAGCTGGCGGGAACCCAGTCCCTAGGGCCTCTCTGGCCTTCATCTGGATCATCTAGTCCCAGGGCTGCCCACCAGCTTCCCAGGGCCTGGGATGCCTCCAGTGGGGGCCACCATCCAGACCCTGAGCCAGCCACCAGCTGGAGGCTGCAGGGACTTCCAGGCAGAGCACTCGCCAGGGCCCACAGGGCTGCTTCAGGAAGAAGGGCAAACAAAGGCCTCAGCCAGCAGGTCAGGGGTCATTGGGCCACCAGCTGTGGACACCACGGCGTGTCTGGGAAGAGGAGGCAGTGGAGGGAGCGAAACCTGCGGAAAGACCAGACATGAGATGGGCACTTCACCCCTGACCATGCTCCGGGGGCTCCTAGGGGGACATATGACACAGAGAGGTCGACAGCGGGGTCTAGCCACCTCACGAATACTGACATTTGAGCTGAATAAAGTTTACAGAACACACTGGTTTTGCATTCAATCACTCACACTTATGTCTTATGGCATTGGTGACAACCTCCATAGTCTAACAGTCCGTTCCTGCTTGAGTCTCATGTAACAGCACTCTCCCCACTCCCTCTCTGTGACTCTCCTTTCTATGCATCTTTCTATCCTATCCTTTCCTGTCTTCTAAGTTTTACCCTTGGACAAATGCTGCCTTTTTGCTCTTGTATGATTGATTGTTCTAAAGAGTGTAAACTTCCCTGGAATTACTGTTCAACTTAGAGGCTAAGCTATAAGGTGTGGCAGAAAGCTGAGCCACAGGGCAGTGGGGAGTTTAGTGCCAGGCCCCAAGGGTGGCAAATAAGGGCCATAGTTTCAGGAGTTACACCATTCTCTATCAGACCAGTAAGACTGGCCATTTCACAATTTTGAATTTTTGTCACGGATTGAACAGCATCCCTCAAATACACATGTGTGGGATGGGGGTGGAGGGTGAAATGTAACCCTCCCTGATCCCATCAACAGCCCTGGTCAGACATCAGGGGAGTTTCCCTAGCACAGGACAAACAATGGCTTTTATCTCAATGAAACCCTTGGACATCAGGAAAGTGAAAAACGCCTGGAGGACTCCAGGGACCTACAGATGCCAAGAGACAAAGACTTTCTCCATAAGCAACAGAGAGAGGGCCTTCCCCAGAGATGGCACTTTGAATTTGGACTTCTAGCCTCCTGAACTACACAAGGGAATTCTGGTGGCCTAGTGGGTAAAGTGATCGAAGGGCCATAGCCATGGTCTTTTCAGTCACTTGCTATGTATCTGAGAACTGGACGATGAATAAGGATGACAGAAGAATTGATGCCTTTGAGCTGTGGTGTTGGAGAAGAGCACTGAACATCCCATGGACTGCCAAGAGAACGAACAACTATATCATGGAAGAGGGTGCACCCACCGTGCTCTTTGGAGACAAAGATGATGAGGCTTTGCCTCATATACTTTGAGTATGTTGCTGTTGTTGTTGTTGTTAAGTGCTGTCAAGTCATAGACGACTCATAACAACCCTGTGAACAAAAGATCTGAACCCTGTTCTGTCCTGCTCCATCCTCACACTTCCTGACACACAATCACTCATTGCAGCAGTCACCGTGTCAATACATTTGATTGAGGGTCTTCCTCTCCTTCACCGATTCTCCACCCTTCCCAGCATCATGTCCTTCTCCATGGAATAGCCCGTCCTAGCAACATGTCCTAAGTATGTGAAGCAAAGCCTCATCAAGCTTGCCTCCAAAAAACACTCCAGCTGCACCCTCTCCAAGATATATTTGTTTGTTCTTTGGGCCGTCCATGGGATGTTCAGTGCTCTTCTCCAAAATCACAGCTCAAAGGCATCAATTCTTCTATTGGGCTGTTAAACATTGGTATACTTTCCCACAATGGCCTGCACTCACCCTTCATGACCCATGTCTGTTATCTGGTGGTGGTGGTGGTGGTGGTGGTGTGTGCTGTGGATAGATACCATCTAGAACAATCCTTTTCTGCTCTCCTGTATCATGACAGTGTCCTGGGCTCCTCAGCCCCCTGCACCTTCTCTGGACAAGTCACTACCACTCACTTCATCCCCTCCCCCTCCACTGCCCCCATGACTTCCCATCCTCCTCCTCATGGGGGAAGAAATAGAAATAGAGGGATCCCGGCAGACTCAGGGTGTCCAGAGACAGGCCACACTGTCGTGTAAGGAGAAACTCCCACAGCTGGTGGCATGCAAGCTAATACCAGCCCACAGCTTGGTAGAGCTGCTGGGAGGGGATCAAGCCTCAATTCTAGACCTGGGCTGTTGAGCCCTGAATCCCCCCTATTCCTCATTCCAACCCCACCCAAAGCACAAGCCACACAGGGCTGGTGCAGTGGGTCACGGGCTGAGTGCTACGATGCCTCTATACTAATTAGGGGCTGTGTTCAACAGCCCTCAATCCCTCGCTGGCACATTTGGAACAGAAATGGAATGCTCCTGGGTAACCCTTAGCCCCCATTCCATCTCTACCTACTTGGAAGAATTGTTGATGAGTATTGAAAAAAAAGAGAGTAAGTCTAAAAAAAGATCTCCCTCCCACCAGGGCCTGAAGTTCCACCATCAGCACGTTGACAGTTCTGCCTTCCAGCAGGTCTTGAAGAATCCCAGAGATTCAGGGTTACACGGGGGGAAACTGAGGCCCACCAAGGACAAAGCACCTGCTCAAGGTCACATGGCAAGTCAGCGGCAGAGCGGAACTGAGATCTACTCTCAACACCCCCAGCTCCCCCATCCTGGGTGTCTGAGTTCAGGCCCCTGCCATGTCCCTTATTCCATAGACTCAGTCTCCCAGGCTCACCTGGATGGGTCCTCCTCGGGAGGGAAAGGGCCCTGCAGCTTAATGACGTTGAGTTTCCCTTCAAAGACACCATAGCTGAGGGTGACCTGGACAGAGAGAAGAGGGTGAATGTTGGCGGGCCCCCAGGATCTCCACTAGGGGGCAGCATTTGGCAGGAGCCGAGAAGGTCCCCAAGGCACAAATGGTCCCTCCGCTCACAGTCGACCTTGGTGACTCAAATTTCACCAGAAACAAGAGGTGCTTCGCCAGAAGCCTGCCCACTGGTGGTTTCCAGCTCATGGGGTCCATTCATGGCCATAATCCCATTGTTAGGTGCTGTCTAGTGGAGCCCAGTTCGTTGTGACCCTGTCAACAACAGATCTGAACCTTGTCCTATCCTGTGCCATCCTCACAATCTCCGACCGCTCAAGCCCATTGCTGCAGTCACTGTGTCAATCCACCTGGTCAAGGGTCTTCCTCTCTTTCAGGGTCCCCTCACCTTTCTAAGTATGGCATCCCTCTCCAAGGAATAGCCTTTCCTAGTAACATCCCCAAAGTATGTGAGACAAAGCTTCTCTATCCTTGCCTCCAAGGAGCAATCTGGATATACCTTCTCAAAGACATATCTGTTTATTCGTGGGATGGATATTCAGTACTCTTCCCCACCACCACAGTTCAAAGGCATCAATTCTTCTTCTGTCATCATCCTTATTCATGTCCGGCTCTCAGAGGCATAGCAAGTGATGGGAAAGACCATGGTCTGATCAGGAGCACCTTAGTCTTCAAACTGACATCATTGCTCCTCAGTACTAAGGAGAGGTCCCTGATAGCCGACTTGCCCAATGCAATACATCTCCTGATCTCAGAGGCATAGCAAGTGATGGGAAAGACCATGGTCTGAATCAGGAGCACCTTAGTCTTCAAACTGACATCATTGCTCCTCAGTACTAAGGAGAGGTCCCTGAGAGCTGACTTGCCCAATACAATATGTCTCCTGATCTCCTGACTGCTGATGCCAAAAATGTTATTGTGGATCTAAGTAACATGTAGTCTTTCTCCATCTATCATGGTATTGCTTATAGGTCCAGTGGTTGAGATTTTTATCTTCTTGATGTTGATATGTAATTCCATTCATTTCCCCAGAGTTCAGTTTACATGGGAGGCTGGGACAACATTCACCTGACAGATAAGGAAACTGAGGCTCATAGCGGTCAAGTAAGAACTTACCTTCTCAGAAAGTTACATACCTGAACTAGATAGAGCTGACGTTTTTCTACAAGTCCCTGAGGGCTTTATCAAACCCATCTCCGCCCTCAGCCTCAGAGCCCTGCTCCATGCTGAGGGGTGGGAGTCTAACCTCTAATAAGGAAAAAGAGATTGAAGACCACTTTGCAGAGGCCACTGAGCAGGGTTCAAATCCTTCCCTTCCCTGTATTAGCTTTGTGTCATGGTTAGTTCAGTTACCTGGGTCTCAGTTTCTTCATCTGTAAAATGGGAATAAAGTTAGTACCAACCTCATGTGAACACTGTCAGGAACCAGAATTGGAGAGAGTCAGGCCCCTACCATGGGAAACTAGAGAATGGGTGACCAGAAACCCTAACTGTTGGAGAGGCCCGATTTGGGCTTCCCAGCATCTGCCCCATTCCTGCCTGAAACCCCTCACTCCATGGTCCTAACAGGACCAAGCTGCACCAAAGTCCCAGGTCTGGTCAATCAACACTGATTCTGGGTGCTGTGGAGAGCAGGTCATGTGACACGTGACACAGTGGGGCCATCAGACCTAGCAGCACCAGGCCTGGGGTCCTTCCCACAGGTAAGGGAGAAACATAGATCTACTGAACTTGTCTCAGGAGGGGTGACCTTCCTGGAAGCAAGGCCAGCTTGGAGGCGAGCACAGAGAAGAGGAGGCAGCGCCCCGGTTGCCACCCCAGCACCCAGACCCAGCTGACCAGAAAGTCAAGCCTTTAGCTCAATGTGAAAGCAGACAAACTTCCTTTTTGTTGAAGCGTCTGTGTTGAGTTTCTATAACTTGGAAACAAAAGGGGTTCTGACTCACACAATCGGGGAGCAGGGCTCAGGGGCCTCCCTAGTCAGCGCCATCGAAGGGTCTGTGGTTGTTGGTAGTTTTGCTGTTGAGTCAAATCTGACTCATCGCTGCCTGTCTAGCAGGTTTTCAGAAGCTATAAATCACATTGGGAGGAGACTGTCCATCTTCCTCTCACGAAGCAGCTGGTGGGTTCGAGCCAGGTGCCCTGGAGTTGGCAGTGCAGTTCATTACCTCTAAGCCACCAGAGCTCCGTTCTTTGGGCTACAACCCATTAACTAGTGTTTCATCTGTAGGGCAGACCATTTTAACCCATAGACACCTGCCAGGTGGTGGTGGGTTGGAACCCCACTCTTATCCACACCAAACAATAAGCTCGAGGGTCTCCATTCAAGACAGGTTCCCAAGTCACACAGGATTCTGGTGAAAAGCAGGGAGCAGTGGACGGGTGTGTGTTAACGGAGGAGGAACTACCCACAGGAAAAGTCAAGACAGGATGGACCTGGGCCCTTAGAGGGATGTGGGAGGGTGGGCACTGTCCTGCATCTTATAAAGCATGTGGGAAGACAAACTTCCTCTGTATGTGGGTCCTTCCAGCTGGAATATGGAGCTCAAATCAAAGAATCTTGGCATCACAGATGCTGGAGCCCTTGTGGGGTAAAACTGGAGGGGACTGAGTTACCCTGAGCCTCAGTTTCCCCATCCACAAGGGAGGGCCTAGACTTCATAGTTTAGACTCCCAGGTTAGTTTCAGACACCAGGAGAAAGGGACAGAAAAGACTCTCATGTCCCTTGGGGGGACCTGCCTCACAGCCCCCGCATCCTCATCTCTGCCAGGCTCACCTGCTCCCGAAGCTGAGTGGTCCCCAGGAGCTGCAGGGTCTCCAAGTGGGAGTGGAAGAGGGGGCTGGGCTGCAAGCGACCACCCAGCTTGCACTCGATGATGTAGCCCACCGTGCAGTCATCAGGCAGCTGGATGAGGGCAGACGTGTCCACGAAGCGGGAGCCGCTGAGAAACATGGGAGGCACGGTCACTGGTGCAGGCCCTTGAGTCCCACGGCCCTTCCCGCACCCAGCAAGCCCTCCCAGGGAGAGCTGGTTCTAACCAGAAGACTGGTTCTAACCCCTGTCTCCTGAGTACTGCTTGGCCTGGGGCAAGTCAAGGACCACAGGAGTGTCAATCCCGTCATCTGTGAAACGGGATGAAGCTGGCCTGGCTTCACAGTGATGTGTGGGCCAAACAGAAGCACAACGGTGATGCCCTGAGAAATAGCTGAGGAGCGTGGCACATTCTTTTCTTCTCACACTTTGTTGGGGTTTTTTTGTTTGTTTGGTTTGGTTTTGGTCCCCCACCCTTTTCCTTTTCTTTCACTGTGTCATTGCTGAGCATCTATGATGCTGAGGGCTGAGGCTACAGAGAAGGGATGAAGAAGAGAGATGATTGGGTGAAGGGAAGGGAGTATCTGATAAAGGGCTGATCGCTGGGTTTAAGTGCCGTTGAGTGGGCATCATCAACTCCTACAGACACTATGACCAACAGAACCAATCCCGGCCCTCTCCTGCTCCGTCCCTGTCATCTCTGACACACTGGAGCCCATTGCTGCAGTCACCGTATCAGTCCAGCTCATTGAGAGTCTTCCTCTTCTCTTCTGCTGACTCTACACCTCTCCATGCATGATATCCCTTTCCAAGGACCAGCCCCTCTTAACGACAAGGGCTGATCAGACATTAAAATAGATTCATTTCATAGTTGATGATAATTAAAATCTTGATCTGTGCAATGGAACTGGAAGATACTCTGCTGAGAAAAATGTCACTCATGAAAGGACAAATACTGTATGAACTCACTTATAGCAAAGGGCACTCAAAAGTCACTGCCACTGAGTCAGAGCTGAGGACAGACCAGCCTCCAGCAGGGTTTTCCTAGATGGTACTTCACACCGGAGGAAATAGCTTACCTTTTCCCCTCAGGGTGACTGGCGGGTTCAAATTACCCTTGAGACATGGCCTTTGTGTCAGCAGCACAACTCTCTACTGATTAGGCCACCAGAGCTCTTGCCAGAAGACAAGAAAACACAAACAAAGAGATCAGAATTCCTTAGTGGTTAGGGCAAGGCTCAGGTCAGCTGTTCATAGAGTCACCAGGGACCGTAGTTGACGTCCAGAGAGGGAGAGGGGAAATGGGGGTTAATGATCATAGGGAGGGGCATGAATTGATGAAGGGTAGGGCTGCACAGATGATGATTGTAACTGCAGTCAATAAGTCATGCACCTGATAAAAGCTAAACAGAAGTTGTGTGCTCAATGTTGTCACAATAACAATGACAGAGACTAACAGCGGAGACTGCTTATAGACAACCAAACACCTCACAGGATTTGGCTCCTTGAATTGGAGACTTAGGGTCGTGGTTTCGTGGGACATCCTAGTTAATTGGCCTAATAATGTGTTTAGGGCTTCTGTTTGGTTTCTCATTTTATTATGTAGTAGCTGGGGTCTTCAAAGTTTTCAGGCAGCCATCAAGGCACAATTGGTCTCTGTTCACTCAGAGCAGCAGAAAGGCAAGTCAGGGCTGGAAGGAGGACATGGAATGTGTGGCTTCCAGGAACAACTGCTTCCTTTCGTGAGACCAGAAGAACTGGAGGGTGCCCGACACCGTTACTGAACATTCTGGTCAAAATGAAAGAATCTTCATCAAAATGGTGCAACCCCTGTGGAAAGCAGTATGGCGCTTTCTCAAAAAGTTGCAAATAGAGATACCATTTGACCCAGCAATTCCACTACTGGGAATAT